GTAGGCTTTTCCATCCTGAACATGGCGCTGGAGGTATAGGGCCTGAGATGTTTCAGCTCTTCGCTACTGGTGAACGCTTCTATGACAATCCTTGAGACGTCCTCGAGCTCGACACCGCAAGAACACACGACAGTTGGGATTTAGGGTGTCGGGCTCACTTGTGGTCTAGGGGTAAAAGGGCCCAGAGTCGGTAGGCCCATGTGCGACTGTCAGTATGTCAGCTAGCCACATACATGTGTATGTGTATATATATATATATATCTGTATATATATATATATATTTATATACAAATGGATAAACAACAAGTAAAGCATATACATATATATATATATAATATTTATATATATATATGTATATATACAAACGGATAAACAACAAGTAAAGCATATATATATATATATATATCCATTCATACAGTTCATGTATACGCATGAGCAGTCTCGGCTAGCAACCGTATACTATATGACTGACAAGCATTAACAGTCGATTTCATGGTATACATCCCCACGTCTGTATGTATGTAGGTATGCATGCATGCATGCATGAACATATGTGCATGTGTGTGTGTGTATGCGTGCAGGGGATCCTTTTGTTTATCCCACTGCTGGGAAACCGCCCGGAACCTGATATGTGTAAGAGCAAACCTAAACACCAGACTGGACTTGAACATGCATCCAAACCGGTAAACCCCAAACCCTCAACCATAACGCATAAACCATAAACCCTGAACCACGAGCCATAATCAAGTCATAAATAAACCTCAGCCACTTCCACAACCACTAAGATCACCGGTCCTTGGCATAGCGCTTTTCCTGGTAGTTCAGGTTTGCACGCCTCGGAATAACGGGCGCTCTTTGGGGTTCAAAGGCCTGTGCGGGTTTGGTACCAATTCTTCCACCCCCTGAACCAAACCCCCATCACCGATTACAGTGGCTCCTCTACACCCTAGAACCCAAATTCTGTTTCCCGAATCCTGAACCCAGGAGGCGGGTAAGTTCTGTTGTAAGCATACACGCCCCGTCTGCATCAGAAGAGTGTGAGCCCAAAGGCCTTGCTTCCTTCTCAGGGATCCCGGGCATAAGACGGGTATAGGCCAAACGACCTAGCATGATCTAGCCATGCAGGGGTTGTTGTTCTGAGATTTGCTTAAGGCTCCAAGTCTTCAAGACAATCGTTTTCTTGCATCGAAAGATGCACAGGCCGGCTTCGACTGCCCGTTGGTTGCAATGTGGTCGAAATTCGGGCTTGCCCGGTAGGGGGTTTCGGCATGTCATTTGCAAAGAAAGCGATCGGACGGTAAAAGTCGATGATTTGGCTCCTGGAGGGCTGCGCTGGCACTAAGGGTCCAACACTCGGAACACTCATAGTCTGTCTCAGTCCCTGATCGCCGCAGGCTCGCGCAGGGGCCCCTAGAGCATGCTGCCCCTAGGCCCTAAATCCTAAGCCCTTAAATCCTGAAGCCTAAAGTGAAGCTGGGGTAACTTGGGACAGGTGGAGTTTGGCAAGCGGAGGTTCCAATTAACAACCCTGAAGATGGCTATGCAGCCTGAGGCCAAAAACCCTAAATGCAACTGAGACCCTAACCTGTGAGCCGCAAAATCTCCCACCCCCGACACCCGAAACTCTAATGCTCGGCCTATCACAGCGACAGTGGAGTTTTCAGGATACCGAAATTCAGGAGTTGTGGGCCTGTTGAGCCATCGATCAAGAGACCTGTATCAGTATCATACAAAAACCCCACAAGAGCCCCAAATCAAGTCCCTCCGGCTGGACGCTTTTCTGCTTCATGGGCCATCAAAACTCTCGCTAGGTGCACAGCGTTCTCCTCCTCACGGAGAGGGGACAGCGCGTCAACACCCTAAACCTCCTATCTCAGACCCTGACCACTAATTCTGTACAATGCCGGAGGTCTCGAGATGTATGCACCCTGAGCTCTTGCAGGGCGGCCACCGATAGACTCCAGCGATGCATACAGCTCAGACTTGGATTGGGACCTTAGTCACAACAGGCTTGCCAGGTTTCGGGCGGAATTGGGAAAGAGAGGGACAAAGACAAAGGGAACAAAGGGATTGCGAGTATCGTCAGGAAAGCGGTTGAACCCTGCACCGTCTAAGCCCTGACGGAGTGATGCGCTTCTTCTGGAGTGTGGACTTTACAAAGACATCTGCCGATGGCCCGGCCTTTTGGCTAAGCACTCGGAGCAGCAAGCTAGCTTTGCGTTCTTCTGAAGACAATCAGGGAGAAGAGATAAGGAGCCTTGCTCACTGTCGTACGCTACAAGCCCGGCCTCATCTCAATTTGGGGTCCTGCATTCACGGCAATTCACGGGTATCTGTACTGCTACAAACTTTCCAGGGGACAGAAGCAACGACACAGGATGGGGGCAGAACGATTCCCAGCTACGACGGATTAAGAGAGGCATCCGAACTGAAACAGTGTGTTGAGTCGAGGGCATTTTGGCCCGCCAAAGGGCAAACCAAACAAATCTACCCATATAGTTGTCACTGCAGACTTGAAGTAATTTGATTATTCAAGTCTCTATATGTCCAAGAGACATGCCCTGGCTCTGATGGCTTGCAGGTGCCAGCGGAACAGGTTACATCCTGCAGGGGGCTTCACAGTCTTGGCTTAACAATTGGAGACGGCCTGAGGATTGCACTCTTCTCTCCGTCGAGCCCTAAACACTGGACCCTCTACATTGCACAAGTCTGAACATGGATCATGGTACACCCTCTAAGCCTTATCCCAAAACTCTAAGAGCTACCATGAAATCGTAAGAGCCCTTGGGGCTCCTACAGTCTTCTGTCCCTTTGACTCTAGGGCGCGAGCCACAGAACTCAGAAGCTCGTGTCAAGGTGTGTGGCCCAAATTCTGTATCACCGTATCACCCCTCTGCGAAATCCCGCAAAGTCTCTCTAGTCATCCTTGGACGTCCTACGCAGCAAATCTCAAAAAGTCCTGCTTTGAAACCTCGACGTTCAGAGTGCTGGTCTTCTCAAGGTTCTAGGCTTTGGCTTGTGGTAGGTTTCGCTCTAAGTCGTGGCAAGCCCGAGCTCGCAGGTTCCTGATACTTCGTAACTGTGAAATTCCCTGCCCATGGAGGAGAAGCCTCTGCACCACGGATACGCAAGCCATGTCGGAACACCCTCCAACTTGTCAGGCCCATACGCTCTTGTCAAAAACTCGGATACGCAATTCTTGCCCTCCCCCGCCCCCCAGGCCCCAAGGTGTGTTACTTCCGTAAGAAGGAGGACATCAGGACCCCTGAATCCAAGCAAACTGCAACTTGGCGCCTTGATGCCGAGAGTTCCATCCTCTAGAAGCCAGGACTTGGCTTGAGAGAAGTCCACTCGCTTCAGGTCAATCTTCCGCCACTGAGAATTTCTGTAACCTCCACTTGGAGGTTCATGGGTAGTTGTAGGTGGGGTTATAAGTAGAGTAACTATAGTTATAACCCAAATTATGGGACTTATAACCCCACTTATAACTACCCATGAACCTCTAAGCATACAGGTGCTGCCTATGAGCTTAGGGCGCTGGGCCCCTGTCAACCCTTGATGTAGGCCCGGCTTTAGAAATTGGAAAAGAAAGCTTTCGAGTTCTGCGTGAAGAAAGGGTTCCGTAACTTCCATATTTCTGGGCATCAGGTGGGACCCCTTAAGGATTCTGAACCCTTGTGATGTAGGAGCCATACCATCCCCTTGTTCTGTCTGCTCTGTCTGCTGCAAAACCACTTAAAATAGATCAGAAAACAAGCTTCCCCGGGTCCGAGGAGACTGAAACGACCACGTTGAGCTACTGGACTCAACGCAGCATCATGCGCAGAGTATGTTTCTCAAGTTACATAAGGTTGCAACGGTTGGGATCATTGCATGGTAAGAAGCTCGAGTTTCGCATGGGCTGCAGGCTGGAAGGCCACGATCAGGTTTGGTGTTCTACACCGGTGTTCTTCTGTCACATAGGACAGAGTTGCACTTTCAAAATGGAATCGAAGGCCTTGGAACTCACAAGTCCCTAAGCCCCTTCCCCCCGCTGGGACCCAGCACCCAAAGCCGAAGACCCTCTGTGAAAAGCCAATGCAAAGCCTAAATCGCCCCGCAAAGAGCCCAACCGATATCAACCCTAAACCGAAAAAACAAAGCCCAAAGCCCCTAAATTCAACACTACTCTTTTTGTTCAGCCTCGCATCAGCATCACTCGCTCCTGGATACAGGAGCTGTAAACCGTCATGCTAACGGCACCAGGACACTCCACTATAGAACCTAGGGCCTAGGGCCTCTACCAGGCAACGTGGCAGAAAAGGGGACGGTGGTGGCACATCCCAAACTACGCAAGAATGACGGTGTTTTCTCTTGGGGGGATCCTGCGGGCCTGACATCCCATTCGGGCTGGTGAATCTTAAGAAGATAATGGGACGCTCCCGAAAACTTCGACACACTACAAGGCAGATGCATCGATCGAAAACCACTGGAAGCAGCTGTCCGTCCAGCATTGGTCGCACAGAGGCTCCAATGAGCAGGGTTACGCATAATGGCATAATTACAAGACTGTGAGCGCATGTCACGATGTGTGCAAGTATACAAGGGCGTACATTTACAAGCATGTATGCAGATGGGTGCTTTATCACTTTGAACAGTGTGTACGTGTCGGTGTACCGTTTTGACTATGTATCTGCCTGTGATCTTATGAAGCCGACCTGGCACTAGAACCTCTTCCACTCTGGTACCCGAAGACACCGCCGTAGAGTCCTGTATCAACAACCCCGGAACAAGATAGCCTTTGCCAGTCCAGGCCCTGCAATTTCTAACGACCAGAAGCCCCACTACAAAAAACATCTTCAAGCGTGCGGCCCCACTGTTAACCCGACATCCAGCCCAAAAGCCCTGTACTGCCAAAGGACATGAAACTCGAAGGCATGTGAGACTAAATCCTGCATGTTACGACCTGATTCCGACCTTAAACCCCCGAAGCTCCATATCCTACAGAAGCCAAGAGTGTCCTGAGGAGACTTCAAGACGCCGTAGTCGGTCAGCTCTGGTCCGTCTCCGGGAGATCTGGGATCTGCTGCCACAGAGCCAAACCTGAAGCTCGTAAGAGTGAGGCTCTCATTAAAGGGTTTTTGGGAGTTAAGGAGTTCAGGATGTCTTTGTTTCTTCAACCCTTTAAAAGGAACCCTTATTAGGAAACCTTAAGCTCCGCGCCACGAGCCCGGAACTCTCAGCGCAGGCGAGGAACGGGATGAAGACATTGTTGAGGAGAGCAGTTCCTAACCACGACGGCTTTTCTTGCTTTAGGCTTGCTTTAGGCCCTTCAGAGGCTAAGGAGGGTTTATGACTATCATCGGCCGGATTTAGTACTGCAAAAAGTGTAACTTAGGGGTTTATATAGGGGTTTGGGGGTTGTTAACTTTCGGGTACGGGGTCTAGGGTTTACGGGTTTAGAGGTTTAGGGTTTAGGGGGTTTCGGGTTTAGGTTAACGAACGTGCGAGGTTTAGGCTCCGCGCCCCGGCGTTTAGGGTTGAAGAGAGCTCGCATTTGAGGAACTGGGATGCCATGCGCAGGGCTTCGGAACCCGGGGCAGTTTAGGACAAACCCTAGGTTTTGAGGAAACTGGAGCATTTTGGCAAACAATCAAAGTGTTACGCTTGAGTATCAAGGCGTCTTGGATTCAAACATCCGAAATTCGACTGAGAGGTGCAGGTTAGAGAGGCTTTATCCACAAGTTTCGATGCAAAGGCTCAGAAATCAAGGCTTCGAGGTTGTGCAAAGTCTCCGAGGACGACCGCATCTTCGAAGCTCTTGGGAGGATTCGCCTTCATTCCATAGCCGCGCAGGTAGAAGAGTCCTCGGTTGGGCAAGTACCGAATCAGTCATCCCAGCAGTGGGGCACTAGCGGTTGAAACCTCACCCCGAAACTCTTGGTGGTTACAACTTTGTCAATGATTGGAGGCGGGAAGCGTGGGGCTGACGAACTCTATCTTGCTGGTTCACACCTGCTCTGGTATTGAAATCAACATCTCATTGACACATCACACCATTGTGCGCAGCAGGTACCTCTATTGCAGACATGGTGATTGCAAGCATGGGCACATGCCGAAAGATTTCTATGGCCGAGGGCAGCTACAATTGAGACACAGTCAACAACGAAAGCCCTTTCTGTCTGGAACTCGTCTTTGGCTTGGCGTCGCACGAACCGACTTGGCGAAGAGCTGTCGCCAGGAATGCCATACCTCGGAAGTCATGGAACTTTGAATGCTGAACTGGGCTGGCGGGTATGTAGGGCCCCGAGCTCAGGGCCAAGCACTCATTTCTTTCAGGGTGGTGCTGGCAACAACCGTGTGAAACGAGAGCATACTGTAGTGGCTCACGGTGGTACAAACTAACCGCTCGAGTGGCGTGAGTCACAACGGATATTCTGGTGAGAAGATGATGATGCGGATGGCTCTGGTCACGACACTGTTCATGGTGGTGCCGCTACTGCCGGTGATGATACTGATTGTAGCAGTGATGATCACGACTTCAAACATGACGACAAAGAAAACGGTGATGACATGCCGTTGCTGATAATAGCTTTCTGACGTTTGCTCTGCGGTTTTGGAGCTGCTACGCAGTTCCCAAGCCTACACCCCGAAACCTGAACGGCGAACGGCTGAACTCGAAAACCCTGCCAATGATAAGCCTTAAAGCCGCAAACCCTAAACGCCAAAACCCTCGCACCCTATGCCCGGAGCCCTCTCATTCAACCCCCCATGAATCTAAAGCCCAATATCCAAACTGAAGCATATGCATTAAGACACTAACTTCTATGAAGGCTCAAACGACAGACGACCTGCAAAAAAACACCGGGCCTTTCTGAGTAGAGTTGGGCTTCATGGGAATGCTCTGACTGTTACTACTGATTCAGAGCCCGAATTCAATTCTAATTAATTAGGAACCTAGGGACAGGGTTCGAAAAAGGCGGTAGGTTGTACCTGACAGCCCCAAATAAGTAATGAGCTTTGAACACTTCTGCAAGCATTTATTCCTTCACCACTTCATGAGGTTTGAAAACACTCAATAGAAACAATCAGTGCAGCTTAAAGGGTTGTACGTATCAACTCCTTCTGTCTGCTGTGTTCAGAGACGGTGCAAGTTCCAGCCGTGCCCCACGGGGCGTGGCACAGCTCCTCAGCACCACTGGGCTTAGGGTTCCAATCGTAATTGCTGTCTGGGTTTAGAGATTCCTTACCCCTAAGCCGTCTGCAAGGATTCGTCGCTGCATGATGCCAAAATAACGAACTTTTTCTCATAGGGAATGAAACCGTACTCACAATAGCGAACGCAACAATACCAAACACAAGCACTCGCAATGTGACTTGTTCTACGACCTACGACATTCGTTGGGCGCTTTGGCTCAAGGTTCGGAGGTCTGGGCGATTAAAGGTCTTGCAGAGATGCTGGGCTCTTTGAATCTTACTTGGTTGGCAGAAGCTCCAGCCCGGACCTCTTCATCCTCAATCTACAGTAGCCTCCTCATCCTCAAAAATATACATTGTTGATCTAGCAATCTGGGCAGGTCTTTGCAAGAGTCTCTATCCGCTTCAGGCATCGTGGTGGGTCCACTCCTGAAAGTGGTTGCTGGGAACAATCAAAAGCTGTCCAACGGGAGGCCCTCCGGATCGGATGGCCCTAACCTGTGTCTAGCATCAACATCCGCAAGGCTGCACATGGGAGGACACATGTTTGCAGCTGTTGTCTGTTGTCGTCAAACCTCGACATCTTGAATCCGCATAACCAGATCATGTGCCGGCCTGGATGCGTTGAGTGCTCTGTCCGCTTTTGGCTCTAAACATCACAGTGTTTGAGTGAATGCGTGAGACACTTTTCGCGTCTGGAGCCAACGCCAGGCTTTGCTTGAGCGCCCTCGAATTTTACAATGCGAAACAGCACTGAAGCCGCAGATGCCCCCTCCTGGAACCTGGCCGAACCCGTGACCGCCCTCCCCAAATCCCGCGTGCCCTGAACCTAGGAAACACTGAGGCCAGCTCCTACGTCGTCCTCTGTCTGCACTTGCAGAAAATCATTTTGCAGTGGATAGGTTGGGCTCAGCTGCACCTGGGCCCACCCGCGATCTGTCTCTTACAGGGTTATATTGGTGAGGACTTGGCATCCGGTGTTCGGCGCATCCAGGATGTGGTGTTTATGTTCAAGGGCTTCGTATCTTGTGTGTATCTTGGCCTAAACGATTCGCACGCGGCTGTGATCCTGAAACTATGTTAGTTCTGGCACACATAGAGGCTCCTGCATGATAAGTCGAGACGAGACGAGGACATAGAACTCCAAACTCAAACTAAACCCTGTAGTGGCGTCGGCGTGTCGACGACGAGCTTAGGCATGCGCACATCGGCTTCAGGAATCTTTGAACTTGAATTGAAATCGTCGGGACTGAACGTTGAAGGGTCTGAGGGAAAAATCGAGCAATTTTCTACCACATGTAAACTTAAGTTAAGTCGACCGCTCCCGGCTTGTTCTGTGAACCCTTGACATGCGAAAACACAGAAACAACTGAATCTCGGAGTCTCGAAACAGGAGCAGCCGGATAACTCAGCAAATTCAGAAACAGTCAGGAAAGTCAAGACATAGTCAGAAAAAATACAAACGTCACAGCGTCTGCTTTCTTGACTTTTGCTGACATTTGCCTTTGTTTTTGACATTGCTGTCTATTGTTGACTATTTTTGCCACAAGTCGGAGGTCGGCTCAAAACATTAACAATCAAGTCAAGACTTATTAATCTGGCCGACTCAAACTTGAACATCAACCACACTACAGCGAGCCAAGGTAAATCCAGAAATTAGATACTGCCAATGCCAAAGACAAAGTGAAGCAAGAATCCACATACTGTATTGTAGGCCCGGTGGGCGTGAAGGTGCATGGCACATCAGCGCCTTCCGCCAACAGCGCAATTCTGAATGAGCACCATGCTAAACCGACATGGCCAAGGATGTCAGCACGCGCACGCACACGCACACACCCACCCACCCACACACAGACAGACAGACAGACAGACAGACAGACAGACAGACAGACTGTGACAGACAGACAGACAGACAGACAGACAGACACACACACACATGCGCAATAAAAGCCACATTGGCGGTAAATAACCGCATCACTGAAATCGGCGGAACTGACAACGGCTTCCACTCTGAGCAGTGCAGGTACTCGGAGAAAGCGTCCCTTGTCTATATCACCAAGTTGTCACTATCCAATGTGAGCGTCTTCATTGGCAGGAGACTCTCAATGCATACTCCTGCCCACTGCTTTTTTCAAGTCATCTGCCAATCCCTTGGCCACAGGGTTCCCCCCCCACACACACAAACAGCCATGAAGCCGTTGTTATGTAGGTGAACACAGATTTGAAATATGTTGGCTGAAACGGCGATGTTAACATCAGGCTCGATAGTCATACGTTGCAATCTGCGCCTCAATGGGTAGCAACTATGAAACACAGCAACTAGCCGGATTCAGGAAGGAAGCGTGCTGCCCTTGTTGGGCCGTTTCAAAGGTCTGGTCTGAATCGGTCGGCAATAACGGCCGGTTACTCAAGAGCTGCTCGGTTGATGATGATGCGGTTGGGACCCGCCAGGCCGCACCAGGGCGAGCTCAATCAAGGGCGGCCGCGCAAGCATGCGCAAGCGATCCTTCAGCTCGGCCTTAGACGTTTTTGGCTTGAGCCAGCGCGGTTTCAGCCGAAAGCCCCTCGGCCTGTAAACGGTACGAATCCAGGTATTACGAACTGCGCGCCGAATAGACAGCTTCCACGGTCAAAGTCATAGCTTCCAGAATGTGCATACCTGGTTTGTGCTTCGGCCATCAGAAACGTGCTTGAAAAACATCAGCTGCCCGACCAGGTCCAGAAAAGATGTTGCTGGTCAAAGACACAGAACCGATCAGGGCTCAAGAACCCTACAGGATTCAATGCAGTAGGCTACCCTACCGGAGATGGCACGTTGAACGAGAAACCGTTTGGATACACACTCGTGCAATCCTCCTTCTGACTTGACTGGTTCTTTAGCCCCTCTAAACAGAGGCGAAGATGTTAAGCCGCATTAGCGGTAAATAACGTCGGAAGGACACTCTCAATGCATACTCCTGCCCCCGGCTTCTTTCACATCCATCCCACAGGCTTCCACACACACACAACACTTAGAAAAGTGGTTTCTGCACTCACGGACAGATGTACC